CTCTCCAATGTAGAGGTCTGGGCATTCCTCGCTGCACTGTACAGCATACACCACATTGTTAAGTTTGTGTTTAGGAGTTTTGTCTTTAACTTCTTTAACTTCTTCACACTTGCATAGTGTTTAAAGACATCCTGGGCCATCTGACCTCAGGAAATCACATGATAGAGTGGGGCTATGTTTCACAATGAGCTCACCTGAAACCTTGGCTGATTGTGACCTACACCCATTTTTACACCTTGGAAAACGGAAAGCTTTTGTCATGGCTGGCGGGTTGAGCCATGTGGTGTGGAGGAAAAGGAGGACCCAAAATGCGGCAGTGACTGATGTTTCGAGTGATGTTTATTTACAAGGTGCAGAAACAGGCAACGAAGCGTGAGTAATTACAAACGGAAACCTAAACTGGGAGAAACTAAAGAGCAAACCTAAAATCGTAACGAAACGGGGAGCGGAGCAGAGAGACGCAGACTAAGGAACAGGAACACCATAGAACGCAGACGAGCCGACAATGAACACAGACCGACACCCACTAAATATACACACACACACACAAGGTAATCGGGTAATCACACATAGGAGGGAAGAACAGCTGAACCCAATGCACATGAGGACCGGAGGAGACAACATAATATAACATAATGACAACAGACAGACTTTCAGAACAAAACAGGAAATCTAGAACCCGAACCGGACACAAGGGGGGAGGGCACAGAATAACTAGGAAAATAATCACAAAACACAAAATGCTGGGTCAACGACCCAGGACCATGACAGCTTTTCTTTCCAAGTTTCTTAGACTATGATGACCTGGATGACTGAGAATCTTCACAGACTTTTTATGTGATCCTAATAAATGGAGGCTGGCTAGTGCCCCCTAATAGTAGATTTCTTACTGTTTGTGCTCTGTCCTGTTTGATCTTCAGTTGGGCCTGAACCATATGCCATTGACCAGTAGTAAAAAAAAAAGGGGGGGAAAAGGAAAAATTACTGCAACAACAGAACTTAAAGGAACTCAAGAAACATTAGAAATTTATTTAATTATTATTATTTTTTTTTTACCTCTGTACCAATCTTTGCGGAAGAGATAGAGTCCCATCACCACAATAATCAGAGTGGTCAGTAAAATAGTAGCAATTATCCAGGGTGTGGAAGCTGTACAGTGAAATGGTAATTAACTTCTTCACACTTGCACATTGTTTAAAATGTTACAAATCTTGCAGTCAAGTTCTCTAAAAGATTCAAATAACATTCTTAAATAACTGAGGTTAAAGGAAACCTCAGTTACAACAACAGAACACAAACAAAGCAAAACAGACTCAAAAGCTGAGCTGTGCTTAAAGTTTTTTTCAGGAAAAAAATAGCATCTTAAAATATTTGTTTCACACATATGTATAAATATTTTGAAACATTGCTGTTTCTCACCTGTGAGACATGGCGCAGAGACAGACAGCCAGCTTTCTGGGGATTCTCCACCTCCTGACATCTTACATTTGTAAAGTCCTTCATCAGACTTGGAAACTCTGGTGATGGTCAAGTTTCCTCTTGAGCTGCTCCCTATGTGACGCCCATATTTATAGAAATCAGCTGCAATGCTGGAGGAAGGGATCTTGTTTCTGCAGCGTAGAGTCACAGCATCTCCCTCCATCACAGGAACAGCATCAATCTCCAGGATAACAAAACCAGCTGAACAACAAGTGAGTTAAATTTATAAAATATTGAACTTGTGTTTATTTGTGACAAAATATTGCTGCCTTCATTCAATCATACCAGTGACAGTGATGTTGATATTGTTGCTTCTCTTCCCTCCTGCTGTCCCACACCAGTATTCTCCACTGTCACTTTGATAAAGATAATGAATGGTGCACTTTGAACCTGTTGTTTTCTTACTGGTTTTGTTGCATTGCTTTACTTCCTCTCTCATCTTATATAACACATGTCCATGAGAGATCTCCCCACAATAAAAGCTGGCTGACTCATATTCAAAAAACTGGGATTTGTTTGGAACAATACGAAGAGAAACTGCATCTGAGAAAAAATGACCAAAAAAACAAAAAGGGATTCAGTTTATTTAATAAATTAACAAACTCCTGGGTTTT